TTAATTTTTCTATCGAGAAAAATTTATATCGCGATACATATCGTTATCGTTCTATCGCCCAGCTCTAACAACACCTTGATTATCTAAGTCAGCGGTCCCCAACATTTTTTGCGCCGCTTAACGGTTTATGTCCAACAATATTTTCATGGACCGGCCTTTAAGGTGTCGCGGATAAATATAACAAAATAAAACCAGTAACGGTACCAGAAAAAAGAAGATTTATGCATAACACATGGGAAAAGACCTAGGGAAAATGAATTAACGATAAAAACAATTAAAAAATAAAGATATAAAAACCGATAAAAAACATGAAAACCATAAATTTCACACCCGAGCATCAACTTTCACGGCCCGGTACCAAACAGCCCGGGGGACCGCTAATCTAAGTAGTTGGGGAGAACGTAACCAGTAAATAAATAACCACATCTAGCAACTGTTTGGTAAATCTGTATTTGGTGTGGCTGAAATAAAAATTATAATGAAAATATTGTCCGATATCACCAAATATCTGTATCGTCTGAAAAATCCTATATCGTTCAGGGTCTAGTATGCATGCACGTTTTTGGAGGTGGTACAGAATATTCCTATTCCTTTTCCCAATTGCCTATTCAGTCTGGTTCTTACCAAGCAACATGAGCCCAACATAACACTGGATAGCCTCCAGCACACCTGCGACCCTGAATGAGATAAGCAGAAAAATTAGATGAATGGAACAGCATAATTAAATCCTGCCATCACATACTTAATACCACTTTGTTTTCATGTGAGAACTGTACAGGCTTTTCAGGGTTTCGGAGCTAGCATCTAATGCTTTAAAGCATTAGCTATGTGTGTCTTTTATATACAGTCTATTACCAACAGGAGCTTTAGCCCAGAACCTCTTGAGTGCACTAAAACAAATAATGGATCAATTTATTGCTGATTACATTCATTTTTTAAAATTCTAGCATGAGTCATACGAGGAAGAATGTACTCCTCTGTATATTTACTCAGCAAAGAATTACCTCATTATCCATTTACAGTAGTGTGCTTACATTAGTCTGCATTTATAGGTGTCTAAGCAAAAAACACGCCCTCAGCAAAATGCCTCACGGTCACAATCGCTTCAGTATCAGCATTCCTGACCAGTACAATCATCCCCTTATCCTAACAGGCCCCTCAGCACACCTGTTTAGCCACCGGCTTATCTTCGCCGGCGCACTGTGACCTTTGCTGACCCCCATATGAGCTGTGAATATCCATGATCAGATTCCCATCAGGTGCTCTAATGGTTTTTCTTTTACAACACGCAGTTTTAGCACCTCCAGCTGATTTCAGTTATCCTGAGATTGATTGTGCTTCCCCTTTTCCAGTGTTTGGCGTATCGTATACAAGGTCATTTCTTCTCAAATACAGATATGAATACGCGTAAATGAGTTATCTCATAAATAATGAAATAAATAGACTGGTGGTGCCCTTGAAGATATTTCTTCGTCCCATTTCCACGATGATCGCAGCTGAAGGCTGCTGCGGAGCAGATTGATGACGCCGGTTAATAGGGGATGTAGGATGTAAATGGGGATGTCTTGGTCGGCTGGTGGAAATGCTAAATAAGTATTTGAGCATTCGTGTGGTTTCTTTAAAGCCCTGTTGACGGGTGGCAGTGTCAGTTTATGATGCTGACGAGGGCTGGCGTGTGTGACTGTACATTTGTGCTGGGCTTATTTTAAGCGCTTGCACCCATATCCACTTCTGTGACAGCCTGCTGTTTGAAATGTGTTGTGTTTCCCACTTACCACTGTTGTCTGCTACGTGCGCTAATTTGTGTTGTTTTTGTTTTTTCCTGCCTGCGATAGAAATTTGGAAGTTGTAAAAGCTGCATTATCGGGTAGTCGGGAGTAAATAGGCTCTGCGTGCCTTTAGTTCACATTGCAGCTCAATGAGGTTCTTGTTATAGTTCCGCTTTACTGATGGAGTGCCTCCACAGGAGTGTCCAAGGTACATGCAGATCTTGAAAACACAACAAACTCTTTTGTTAGCGGGAGAAGACAAATACTCAATCAGTCTGGAACTCTCGCCGCGGCGGCAAACTATTTAATCAACCGTGGCTGTCGTCGAACGCTGTTAAGCGTTAAATGCATTGACTGCTGATAGAAGTCGGATGTCATTACAGCCTCCGGGGGCTTCTGCGTCCCCAACAGCGGCGCTAATTTATGCTGTCTTATTTTGCTCCTACCAAATTTACCATACAGAGAAATTGTCCGATTGTAAATTGAATCAGAGGGAATTGCGTTTCGAGGAGGATGGGAGGGAGTGAGGGGGTGTCTGTTATCTGAGCTCTCTGGGACGCGTGACGTCCATTACGTGTGTCAACCTAAAATCGACCCTCATTACATTTTGTTTTGCTCTCCTTTCATACAGAGATTAGTACCATTTGTCACTTCTGTCATCTTGATTGTATCTTTGCATTAGTCGGAAACGACAAATGTCACAAATTGCATTTTTTTTTCTTTTTGCTGAGGTCCAAATTGTGTGGGTGTGTGTGAGAGGGAGAGAGAGCACTCTCATTTGTTTAAAGAGTCTACAGCAAGCTTTCTTCTTTCGAATCGCTTTCAGTAATAAGATCACGACATACAGAAATGTCAGGGTAGCAAAAATAGCACTGTATAAAGAATAATACAGATTATACATATTATTAAAATAGAGTAAAAATATTCCATTGGGCATATTTTTGTAGACTAAAGCCAAGCTTTGGAAAATACATTATGAAGCATGGCCTCCCAATGTGTCCTCTGACCTTCTCTGGCTTAATCGAGTCCACGCATTCATAAAAAGCCTGTAGCTAAATTAATTTGGGACCTCTATTTTCCAATCAGGGGCCCAAGGGAAAGCTTCTAAAAGGGACAGGATGGATGAGAAGATGGCGTGATTGATGACAGGGAGGCAAAGAGCGGTATGTGCTTTTGAGTAGGAGGAAGAGGATTACCGAGCCGGTGTGCGAGCACATCTCGGTGCACGCCGGTGTTATGATAGCCTTTGTCCCCCAACAGCTCAGGCAAACAGCGTCATTAGCAAAAACCTCCTGGAGTGTAACCGCAGGGAAGACTCGCATGCAGGAAACAGGTATTTCAGTTTGTCCCGGCTGACCTCGAAATAGCACGGAGCTACAAAACCCGGGTATTGACTCGCAGAGATATGCCCTCGTCAACAGCCGCATTTAGACTACACAGCTGGAAGTTTGTGTAGTGTGTGTAAGCTTAGCCGACGGGGGTCTAGAACTAGACCAAACGCACACCCGTGTAAGTCACACCTGCCAGTTCCAGTTGATCCTCTTTGAACTGTTTTCTTTCAACTGACACATGGAGAAGGAGGAAAGAATAAACCTGCATGCATACACTCAGGCTTGTTTTTTTTTCTACCTGCACCAAAATAAATTTTCTCTCAGCGACACAGACGGAGTAAAAAAAATTATTAAAAATTAAATTAAAAGCAAAATTATTTGCTTTCAAGTTTCTTAAATTTTTTTTTTACATTTGAATTCATCGGCTCACTTTGTCGTCCCCTTTCTCTTTGTCGTTTCCTAGAAACGTCCTCCTCGATAATGGTGTACATGGATACCACGACCACAACAACGAGGACCTCCACCAGACCTCCTGTTACCACGACAACCACGACATCCAGGACCACCAAGGTGCCCGCCACGACGCCTTTGGTGGTCCAGTCGCCACGAACCACATCGGCAGTGGTGGAACCGTACCAGACGGTCTTGGAAGATTTGGAGCAAGAAGATGTCAACGCGGCGCCGGCCACCGCTAAGCTACCAAATCTTAGGGTGGAGTACTGCAGTCCACTGGTGATGATGGACGTGTCCTGGCCGAGGACGAAGCAGGGAACGTTAGCCAAGATGCCCTGTCCACCTGGATCATTAGGTATTTATATTTATTTATTTTATCCTGTCTCACTTTACTGGCCACAGCAGATGGATGTCTAGTTCTGCTTGAGGTTTCTTCCTGTTAAAGGAGGGTTTTTCTTTCCCACTGTCGCCAACTGCTTGCTCATCGAGGAGAATGTAATTGCTGGGCTGAAGCGCCTTGAGACGGCTGTTGTTGTGAATTGATACTGTACAGTTAAATAAAATTGTATTGAATTGAATTGAAGGAAAAGTTAGAGCAGGACTAAGACATGAGCATGTATGGATAGAGCCAGGAACATCTTGTTGGTAGGGGAAAGTGTATATTCCCTGACTAGCTAGCAAGTGGTTGCTGGACTTTGCTAGCTGTTGCTAGGTGAAAAAATGGTTGCAAAGAGGGTGCTGCACCAACACCCTGTTAGTGAGTGTTTGCAAACTAAATCAGCCACAAAGTAACCATGTGGATGGAGTGAAACTTGAAAAAGTTGTCTCATCACTGAAACCAACCCATTTCAAAAGGTGCAACTCTTATTTTGAAGGTGAACGACTCCTTTTCAAGTAGTTGCAGAGTTACTGCAGACAAGTTGCCAACTTTTATGCAAACAATGTGTGACTGCAGCAGTCTTATAGCAACCAAAGCAATCTAGAGGAGGTTTCACTGCAGCATGCTACTTTGCAACTAATTTTTCTAGCAACCTCTGACAACCACTGTCAATACACATTTTTCCCCAGTTACTAGGTTACATGGGGTCAATGGCAGGTCTTTACACCTGAGTGGGGGCTAAGGTAGTGTATTATCGTCCCAATAAACTCAGAGATAAAAAAGTAGTAGCAGCAACTGTAATTACCCATGATATTCAATCTAGACTTCCATAACAAGCCTACCTACGCACAGATAAAATTGAACTTCACGGAAAGAAGGTTCTGGTCAGTGGCCGTCCGCTGCTCCGAGTACTTGGACATGGGTTAAATATAGAGAATTAGTTTCACTACAGGGATCAATAAAAAGATATCCTTCCAGGCTGAATTCCTTTACAGTTGCTCGGTACAAATAACATAAGTTATCCCGTGCAGTGTAGGTGATGACATTTTTAGTGCACTCACTTTTAAGATCTTTCCCCGGAGAAGAGATTTAATTATCTGGTGAAGCTGTTGGCTTGTACGCTGTTTCTGTAGTTGTCGTTGTCATCTTTTCTGTTGTGGATGCTGTAGCATTTGGAACTATTCTCCCAGATCTCTTCATTTTCTTTGGTCAAAACCAGGAAAATAGGTTTGCACGTGCCTCACGCACCTCAGATGGGCGTATGATTTATTCATTGCGTTTCCTGCCGCTTACATAATGCCAGTGACATTACGTCAAATAACGACCTGCAGTTGACCTAATCACTCCCTGCAAATCTCAAAGATTCCCATGTTTAGAGCTGAAAGCGCTCTCCTGATGAGATACGCGGATGTGCTCTTTCTTTGCTTCTCGTCTGTGTGAGGATGTCAGCTCTCTCCTTAGGAGACACAGTCTACTGTGAGCCTCTTTGCCTTGATGTTGTCACCGTGTGTGTTTTGTTTATGTTTACACTCCCCCTGCAGCACTCATTCTCTCGCCTCCTCTCCTCCTGACTCACTGATGCACGGCTAAAGATAGCTTAGCATCGCATCTGTGTGGAAACTGGTAACCGGCACGGCGCACGGCCATATTTACTTCTTGTCTCTCAGGGCGCAATTCATGTAATTAATTAGCGGCTAAACACGTTTGCGTTCGGCTCTTTTGAAAGGGCTGCTGCGCTTCATTTGTCAGGCATCGGGCCTTTGTTTCGTTCGAGCCCCATCGCCGTATCGATACTAAGAGAATGGAGGCCTGAGTACATCGAGATTAAATCAATGTTGGCCGGCTTTTGATATAAAACCTTTACCTCAGGAAGTAAAAACCCGGGGGGAGCACTTCATATTTAAATGGAACCTGGCTATGATCAAATTATTTTTTAAGGCCGATCCTCTTGTAATACATGGATGAAGATTATAGTCCATCCATCCATTTTCCATCCAGAGTTCAGGGCCAATCTGTAGCAGGGCCAGATTATTAGGAGAAATTAAAGGGGTTACCTACTACATTCATATAGTTGTTGCATCAGCAAAATAACTTGGTGTTAATAATAAATGATTAAAACATAAAACAAAAGCTGTCATGCTTTATTTTATACATAGTAGAGTGACATCATAGCCCCCAAATCCTGCTCGAATGCTGGAAAAAGTCTGTTCGTTTCATCAATCAGCACCGAGATTCAGGCCCACACATTTACATACAGTCTTCATTACTGGGTAACACCAGCACCCATCGAGACCTCACTAACAGGCATCACATGGCAAGATAAGAGGCACACATACCCCACCTCCTCTCAGCGCTACTCTTCAAAGCCATTGCACTTCAGACGGCACTGCCAAGCAATACACAACTGTGCGAGCTTCCTCTGCCACTCGTTGAAAGTTCCTCGAGCTCCTCTTCCATGTACCATCACTTCGCCCGCTGTCATCCCCCAGCATTCCTCCGACTCCCTCTTCTTTCTCCCTCTGTCTTTTATGCCCCTTTGCCTCTAAATATAGGCAGAAATACAGAGTCCCTTATCTTATAAACCCATCAAACGTACAGCTGTCCAAGGTGGACCGGGGAAGGAAATTATATGTCAGTCAAAAGTTCTATCTGTTAATACCGGCCGTCTCACCCTCCCTTTAAGTACAAGCAAGGGCGATTTAATGTCAGCGTGTAGCCGTGCTGATGTCAGCTATGAAAATATGGGAGCAAATTATTTGAGGCGCGCGGCAGAACGAGTCAACAAGCAAGCTCCATTTCTACATTTCTACCTCGATGCCATTTTGCAGTAACAGTGAGTTCAGCTGAAAGCGATGGTAGGTACAGCAGATTCAGAGGGGCTTAACAGACACTGGTCAGTTTCTGGATGTGTGTTTGTGCTAAAGTCAAAAATGGAGCGTTTTGCAAGGAGCTCACTCACCGGAGCACCTCTCTGTCAGCAGAGAGCCCGTCTTAATTGACCTTCCTGATGAATTCAAGCTAGGGCAGACTTAATTGGTACCTATTTTGGTGCGTTTTCTTGCGTATGCAGGAGCCGAACTGTCACACACATGCAGACGCCGTCTGACTTTTAATGATTAAATACAGACGCCGCGTGGGCAACTCCAACTGGCCTCGAGTGAAGCAACTTCATTTCAGTCGCTATAAGATAAAGCTGTCCAATTACATTTTTCTACATCCATTAATTTAATCACTTGAAGAATTATGCTCCTTGGGATTTTCTTGCAAATAGCAAAAGTACTACACAAAATATGGATAAAGTTGATTGTCTGAGCGTTTACAAACCCAATCTAGTAAATCTGACGCAGTTCTTCCCACAAAGCCTCTTAACTCTCCTCCCTATCTCTCGTTCGCTCTCTAGGTGTGGCCTCATACATGTGCATGGGCCCCGAAGGATACTGGGACTCCCAGGGGCCTGACTTTAGCAACTGTACCTCGCCTTGGGTCAACATCATCAGCCAAAAGGTAACAAAAGTATTGGAAAAGAAAGATGCACAGATTCACAGGGTATATAATTTAGTTCATGGACTGCTTTTGTGTGTGTGTGTGTGTTTGTTTTTCCTGATTAGCAATTATCACACATTTCTCTTTAGAATAAAATTGTGGGAAAAAGCTTGAAGATAGCCTGGAGGATTTGAGCTTAAATGTATTTGGATTTAGCTTGAACACAACGGCACCCTTTTACCTTATTCTGACGAACGTTCGCCGCACATCACAATGCACATCGGGGATGCGTACATCATTTGTACTCAGAGGACTTTAGTTTTTGTGTGGGGGTTTTTTTTCTCCTTTTGTCCTATTGTCTCTTCTTAATTGGTCCATTAATGTCATCGATTAGCCAAAGGCTTTACTCAATAGAAAGGTTATTCTTGTGCGTGCATGTGTTTGGCGTGAGTGGGTGGCTGGGTTGGGTTGGAGTGAAAACCAATACCACAGGATCATAGTGTAATAGCCTGCTGTGGGTAACAGCTAATGCAGACCGCTTTCTGTCTTACATGAACCGGCGGTTATTTGCATTCTATACTTCTCAAGTGCAAACGATTCGGATCTCCTCCTCTGCAGGCGATTTATTATGCAAAGCTCCATATTTATAAAGCTCCCGTTGTTAAAATCTGTAAGGGAATCAAATCTTAAAGGAGGGGAAGGTTACTGCAAGGGAGGATCAGGGTTCCAGGTTATGAATTGCAGGCAGTGCTGCAAATGTTCTCCCTTAAACTCATAGGACCCCAAGGCGTACATGTTATAACGCTTATGGTGTACTCGACGGCACAAAGCTCAGCCCATTAAACAAACGGCAGTTTGCGGATATGGATGGAGAACGGCTGTTGGGTAACAAAATAGAAGGCGGGGAAATTATCAGGTGCATTTCTGTGCAGCGCGGGCCCATTTCAGCAGTGCAATAAAGCTCAGCAACTGGCTGCTGTTTAGAGAAATTAACTACAGCAAAGCTTTTTCTGAACCTGCTGTGGCGGGCGGCTCACTTCAGGTCTAACAGGGTGACTCTAGTGTAGAGTAATGCCTGTTAAATTCTACAGAAAGATGTGACAATCAAAATATGCACGCTTTTTTTAAACAAAGGTGTTATTAATCTTTTCTTATTTTTAAAACAAATCACACTCCGGCAGCGTGCCTGTCGGAGCAGAGACAGGAAGACTCTAATGAAGATCAACCTGTCAGACAATTGGAATGCCCATCTGGCACTTCGTTATTTTATATCTAGGGCCATTGTCCTGTATGTGGCACTGCTCATTACCAGATGGTTTCTCAAAATGAGAAAGGAAGATATAAAGCATGAAAAGGAAAGGAAATGACACGAGACAAGCAGAAGGGAGAAAAAGAAAGCAGAGCTATTTACCTAGCATCCCCACATCCCCTCATTAAGAGACGAGAGCAGGGAGGGTAAAGAGGAAAACATCTTCCAAAGAAACATTCCTCTGCTTACACCTCTGTAAAGACCAATTTAAGCAGCCTAATTGGCTTCACTAATAAACTCACAGGCGATGATAGCAGGTAATGTCAGAGTAAATCAGAACGATCCTGTTTTAGATGATACCACCGCTGTTTTGGGGCTCATCTTACGACTCGATTAGTTCAATCTTTAAAGGGAACTGACCCAGAGCGTAAGACCCAGATACATTTTGGGCATTTAATCAACTCTAGATTTATTTACTGAGGCTACACAGTTTCCCATTGTAGTCATCGGCATATGCAACATGCAGGGCTGTCTTATCGGTCACCATTGCTGTCAGGTAATTTCAAGCATTACTCATTAAAGTGATCTGTTTCTCAGTTACTGTGTGATTTATTTCTAGAAGAATGTGGCATTTATTTTATTTCTTTTTCATTTAAATCTCTGTCGTCAAAGCGTTTTGAACAAAAGCAGCGTTTTGTTGGCATCAGGGGAAACCTTTTCATATATTATTTGAAAAAATTCCTGTAACTGCTTTGTTTTTGTTTTAAATAATGTGCTCTTTGGGAACTTTTTGAGGAAAGATTGTTGGTTTTGCTTTTTGGTGGAAACTCTGAGCTAAAATGAAAACTGTGGGTAGCAGTTTTAAGGTTACTTAGCTAGTAGCTAAGTAAGCTAGCTTACTTAGCTTACTAGCTAAGTAAGCTAGCTCTAGCTCATCTGTTGGTGTTTTAATATTTTTAATTTATGTTTCGCAAGCATACTATATTAGGTGATAGTGAAAAAACTCAGTTTTTACTCTTATTTTGATATTTGATATCTTTCACTGCATATAAAAAGTTAGTTTTACATTTTTGCTAATATGTTTCATCAGCAAAGGGATTCAAAACACAGCATCCAGTACTTATTTTGTTAAAGTTCCACAAATCAAACTTCAGCAATGATGAAATGCAAAGCTTTACGGACCTGCTTACTGTGCGAAACTCTCACTTCTTTGTATTTTGCTTCCAAGGAAGCTGAGGTTCTTGTCTTTAGCAAGTTTTTATTTGGACATTTGAAGCTTTTCACTTATTCTTAGTCCAGTCCTTACATGTGACAATTTTCAGAGCAATATTTCATTGTTTGTTAAGCCGATTAACACTAACTTGTGAATCTGTCAAGCACAAAAAAGCACCTAACTCAATAGATAAACCAGCGTTCTGTCTACACAGAGCAGAAAAAGTTGGTATTTTAGCCACTTTGCAACTATTAGCCTGCGACAAAACATAAAATTTGTTCCCACTGCTTTAATTTCTTCAGTTCTACTAAAAATTGCAAGAATAATATCGTTTGACGGGCATAAATTAGTGTTTGTGCCCCAACCAAGTGATTCCCCTTGGTATGGTGTAATTCCTGATGACTACTGTACTTAAAGAAATGACGGGAAAGCCTGAAACTGTTTGGGCTGTGTTAAAGAATACCATGTATTGACTTTCAGGCTTGTCAATTGCACAGTTTTTGTCTTATATATTTATATATCTACATGTATATTTGCATGTTTCAGTAAACCACTGCAGTCATGTTCCGTTATCTTAGCAAAATATAAAGAAACGGTGGTTGGCTCAAGACTTTCTCACAGTACTGTAAAGTAGCTAAGCTATGATTGAACGATGACATTTCATAGGAGGGCTTTAGAGAATGTCAGAAGCTTTAATTTTACAGTATGTATACATTTGGCTGAACTATTTCTGCAGTGAAAACTGGAAGTAATGTTTAAGATATGAAAGGTTCACTGTGCAAATAAAAAAAAGCAATAATTTTCATACAACAATAAAAGGGTGACGGTGAGAGTAATCGTTTTCCTTGTCAGATTCTAGCACATTCGCATAACTTGTTGAACTTCATATATTCAGCGCTGTGTATACACTGTTATCCCCAAGCTGCACTGCTCTCTATTAGTTTTTACAAAGGTGTAAGGCTTTCTTGGGAAATTCCCTCAATAGTCTCATAATTATGTCTGGATGCAATATTGGCTCCTAGTGTTCAGTCGGCTGAGGATCGTCTCACCACATTAATTGTGTGCGATATTGCAGCAGTTGCAGAAAAGGTTTAGGTTAAATGTCTTTTATTTTAGGGGGCATTATACATGAATACAGTAATTTGTCATGTTTTCTAGAGTGTTCTTTTTGAATGCCACAGCAGCAAAAAGCAAAGGACCTGGGGTTGTTTTGATTTGCGTTTAGTTATAGAGAAAAACACTCCGTACAAGCCAGCCGCCTCGTTTAAAAACTTCACAAATTCAGCTTTAACTGGATTGGCTGTCCCATTCCTTAGATAAAAGCCGGAGAGACGGCGGCGGTCATCGCCCGGGAGCTGGCAGAGCAAACCAAGAGCAATCTTCAGGCGGGGGACATCACCTACACGGTGAAGGCCATGGTTCAGCTGGTGGATCTGCTTGACGTGCAGCTGAGGAACCTCACACCAGGTGGCAAGGACAGTGCAGCACGGAGCCTCAATAAGGTATCGGAGGAAACTGGTTTACACATATTTATTTGAATGATTTGATTTGCTAGAGCTGCTTTTGTGTGTAAGCATCCATTAATTCCGACTGTTAAGTTTCCGGTCTAGAGGCCTGCCTACCACAAGGCTTCAATCCGAACCCGACCAGTAGATATTCTTTTCATTATCTGCCGCTTGGCTCTGTGCTGTTGAGTAAAATGATATTCCCCGTTTTTCCCTGTAGTCTGCCTCATAATAAAAACCGACTTTCAATTTCGAGCACTTCTCTTACACTAAGTGCAATCAATTTTTACACTGACGCAGTTTTAAAAGTTGCCGTCCAGGCGCCAACATTTGCCCCGCTTGTGTTTTTTGTTTTTGCTAATGCGACGGGGTAAGATTCCAGCGGGCTGGATGCGAGCGGTGGGGGGTGCAGAGCGTTTCATATTCGCTGAACTTGAATCTAATGTATTTATTACCCAATTCACAGCAGAGCACAGTAAGGGGCACTCAGGCAGAGAGAGCTAAAATAATACTTTCTATCTGCTGAGCGGCCAACAGAAAAGCAAACATCAGTGAAATTCAAAATGTCACTCGTTAATTTCCTGGAGCGGCATCACTTGTAGACGAACTCGAACACCTGTTCTCGGATTGCTTTTTTGGGACTGTTTTTTATTTCATTGCTGCAACAGACACAGATGTCCCTATTGAGGTTTTAGTGCCAGTTTTCTCCAATGGAGAGGGAAGGCAGTAAAGATGGCCAAAAGGCCTCAGAAGGGAAACTTGATGAGTGAAATGGCATCGGAGCAACTAGAGTTTATAATACCTCTCGAAAAAATAAATACTGGCTTCACATAAAACAGACTGTTTGAGGGAGAGGCGACTAACGTGGTGGCGGTTGCCACCTAAGTCTTTAGTCTCTTTTTTAATGTTGATGAAATTGCAAAAAAAAAGAGAGAAAGCAGCCGTATTGAAGGGGTGAGGCGGAAAAGCTTTTGCAACAGAGATAATTTATTCAAGAGGTCAGGGCTTACCAGTGATTTATAATTCTCTGTCTGCTGATATACAGTCCATTTTTTGCAGTACGGTGCATCTATGGAACAAAAAACGTCCCTACGGGTTTTTCTTGTGCTCCGCATCCCTCGCCAGTGAGACGTCTCCCAACGGAGACACCGGAGTCCACAAAACTCTTCTTCTTCTTCTTCTTCTTCTTCTTCTTCTTCTTCTTCTTCTCTGTTTTGGCAATACCAAAGTTCAATCATTTTGACACAATCTGCTAAGCAAATTAAAGATTTTTTTCTTCTTTTTTTTGTTAATATAATGAAGCAGAGCAGACTTTGCCAGCAAACAATGAAAGGATTGAGTTGGCAAACGGTGAGATCAGTGTCGTTTTCATGATCAAACGGTTAGCTGGCTAACGGTGCGGATGGGAACGCTTCCAGAAGAGTGGGCTGTGATGTAGAGCAAGAGGCTCCTTTATGGGGAAATGGTACTCTTTGGAGCTAATCTGCATGGGATTTAGCACGGTACTAGAACCTATCTGTTAAGCCACACAGCGGCTCTGTTGGCTACACCGCCTGTATCAGAACTCAATTAAAATGATTCACTCCCCATGCAGTCCTAACACCACTTCTTTGTGCCTCAGCTCCCTGTCTGTGTTTTTTTTTTTTTCTTCTTTCTTTCTTTCAGGTATGCTAAAATGCTATTAGCATTAACTCTTCTTCGGTGGTGGCAGACGTTTAATGGATAACTGCACCGTGCTCTCTTGGGAAATTTCTCAAATAAAACATAAAACTTAAAATGTGACAACCTAGAAATCAAAGTTAAGAGTGTCATGCAGTATGCTTTTTCCTACTGGTCTCGTATGTCTAATTTTAGGGCTAATTAACACGAGTCTCTACTTTTTTTTCCCACATATTACGCAGTCATTGTGCCAAGTGCTTTTCATAAAACTGTAGAGTGAATGTTTTAGTTTCTCACTTACTTTGAAATCTGTACTTCAAGCTGAAATGTTTCATGTGGAATTGCCTTTTTTTATGCTAACTCTTGAATTTCTTTGGGTTGCAGTTGCAGAAGAGAGAGCGCTCGTGTCGGTTTTATGTTCAGGTATTTGGACCAAATTTTATTCCTCACTTCCTGCTCTTCGTTTCCTCATTGTGGTAACTTGTGCTGTCGTTTTCCATTTTTAACCACAGAATGTGAAACTTGGCCTTTTGAAGTGGCGCCCAGTGCCACAGTATCAAAGTCACTACATGTGTGTGCCATGTGTCGCCTTTCCTTGCAACGCTTGTCTTAAATCAAAGGGTCAAATTTCATTTTTGTCATCGTGTCTCAACTTTTAGTTTATTATTCATATTTTTCACCCACCACCCTGCATGCATATGACATGTAATGATAGTTTCTTGGCACGAGCCTGAGAGTTCCTCTATTTTGAGATGCCGTAGATCCTTTGTGGATTTTCTCAAGTGTCTCAATCATTTTAAAAATGCCCCAGAACTATCATATCAGCACTGCTTTCCAGTGAAATAACCCACATAAGTGGAAAGCATCAGTCAAAAATAATGCTATCGGGCATGTAGCACATGCCTGCATCTCTCAGCAAAAGCTTAAGAGCCAAAAGAACTGACCTCATTATACCAACAAGTCAACTTCTAACTACTCTTCTAGCTACTAAGTCAGCCAAAGTTATGACATGTTATGATTCTGCATGATGCATAATACATATTTGTCCCAATTTGGGGGGTTGAGGGGTTCTCTTGCTTCTCTCAGCTGTTTCTCGGGCTACCGAGTGGGATTTGTTGTCCCTGAGGTGACTTTTTAGCTGCCATCAGGATAATTTCTACCTTGACAAGAGAACTATGGGAGAAGTTGACATCCCTGTCTTCATGCAGATGGTTTCAATTAAGCTGCACACTGCAGCCAGATGTTGTCTTTTTATATGTAGGCTCAGTAGCACGCATGCTAAGAAACATGTATTTCACACTGATCCCTCCGAGGCATGTCAGAAGGCATTTTGTTATTTATGGTTTTATATGGTTGAGTGTGCTCATATGCTTAAATGGATTTCTGAGTGAAAGATGCTTTCAGCACGAGTCAGGTGGTGTTCTGTTTTTCTTGTTGTCGACAGATGTCACAGGAGGACTAGAAATGCAACTATTGTCGGGTCCTTGTGTAGCCAAAGATCAGGGTCTCTCAAAGTTTTGATGTCTGAGTGCCAATTTAGAGAGCCAACATAATTGAAAAGAAATGCAGACATCAAAGACTTTGAGTTGGTATTTGTTGGGTTTCTCTTCAGGGGTTGAGGCTATAGGTTTGTAATTGCCATGTTTCTCTTTATGTTAGGTGGCTGTTACATTTCTTGAAAATATAAGGAAGGTTTAGTCTGCTGTGATGGGTAGAAAAGAAATGCTCCCTTGAGCTTGTTATGTGCTGCTATATCATAGCAGAACAAGAACTGTGGGTAAGTGAAATGTACAATGGTCCATTCATTCCCTGTTGGAGTTAAGAGTGTCAACGCTGGGCCTTAAGTTGATGACCCTCAAGTGCCATAGACTAATATAATATCTTAAAATTAGAAAAACAAATTGTTGAGTTACACGGGGCGGCATACCTCTTCATTTTGTTTCTTACTGTAATGATCGTATCATCTGTACTATATCCTCCAATTAGCCAATCTGAGACATATTTTATGAATATCACACGTATAGCGATTAACATCCATATTTAAGAAAACCCCAAATTATTTAGGTTTTTAATCCTTTTTGATTTTCGCATAAATTGGTGTTACAGTCTCTGCTTGGGCTCGTTTCGCGTGTCACGTTCAGCACATGTTGCTGGCATGTAACTTGGCGCTCACCAAACTTTGTGTCTGTGACTGAGTTTAGTTCAATACACCACAGAATACAAAATGAAATGAAAAAGTGCACCCAGATTTAAAAAACAGACTTTTTTTTTTTTACTTCATCGTGAGTGCCTGAGCCCACGAGCTCAATAGGAAAGTGTTTACAAAGGTCAAGTCTAGGGCTTTCATGATTAAGGTTATAAAATGTTTTAGCGCAATCATGGAGCGC